TCTGGGCGCCGCCCGGCACGACGGGGCCCTGATCTCGGCTGGGTCTGCGCAGCGCCCGGCCCGACGGGGCCCGATCTCGGCTGGGGTCTGGGCGGCGCCCGGCACGACGGGCTCCAGTTGGATTCTCTAGGTGCTACTGTCATGCTGGTAATAACGGGGCAGAGGTTTGTGGGGCAGAGGACCCGGAGCTCTGGGCTTTGGCGGGGGACAGCTCACGGCATAGGAGTGAGTGAGCTGAGGGCCCTGGGGGGCGTGCTGGTGCCCCTGGGATTCCCCCCAGTGCTGGCCCCACACCCCCGGCCAGGCGCATTCAGGGGCTGGTGCTAGGACCTCCCCACGCTGCGCCATGGGCTGGAGCAGGTCCGATCAGAGCCCTGCCCCGCCCCCGCCAGCCAGCCGGGTGAGCAGGCCCCTCCCGGCAGCACCGGGCCCCCGGCTCTCGGCCCCGCCCGCACCTGGGATTTCTCCACGGAGGCCGTGTGCTTGTCGCACATGGGGCTGATCTCCATGCCCCGCTCCCGCTCCTTGTCGCCCTGCCGGAAGAACTCCTCCATGATGCGGTCGGTCCACTGGCGGTACAGCTCCAGCGGCTTGGTGGGGTTGCTGAGGTCGGCGCAGTGAACCATGTTCCGCAGGACCTGGAGTGGGGAGAACAAACAGTGTGGGGACTGGGCCAGCGCCCCCGCCATGCCCCCCCGGGGAACCCCTGCCCCCGGTGCAGCGATCCCGGCCAGCCTCCAAGCTAACCCGGGCCAGGTGGGTCAGGATGGACGGCTCGTTCACCTGGCTGACCTGGGGGGCTTCCATCTCCCTCCCCGCCGTGTCCCATGCACTGGGGGCCCTCCCCAGCCCCCACCCACCTGGATCCGGTCCGTGTAGTTGTCTAGCAGCAGCACCCCGGAGCTTGTCACTTTCTTGGTCTCCACCATGGTCTTGAGGTCGGCCAAGAGGCTCATGTGCTTGGACATGTCGGTGGCCAGGACCTGGGGAGGGGGGGGGGAGAAATGGGGGGGACAGACTGTCACGGGAGGGAGGGGAGGAGCCGCCCAAGACCCAGGAGTCCTAGCACAGCTCCCCTTGCCTCAGCCCCCCCCCGCAGAACCCAGGAGTCCTAGCACAGCTCCCCTTGCCCCCAGCCCCCCCAGAACCCAGGAGTCCTAGCACACCCCTTGCAGGGGCTCGGCTCCAGCCCGGCTCACCATGTCTATAACCATCTTGCGCAGCATCTGACGCTGGCGCTTGCCGAGGCTCTGGAAGATGTCGCAATTCTCCTCCTGCAGCAGCTTGAAGCCCACGGCCAGGTGGTGGTTCTCCAGGACTGACTCGTCGTTGTACATCAGGGCCAGCTCCGAGTCTGCGGGGCAAGGGGGGGGGTGTCAGGGGGGGCCGGCCTCAGCCGCCCCGGCTCCTGCCCCCCTCGCCCCGTGCTGTGTGCTCCCGGGAGGGGGAATCGGTGCATGGCGGGGAGCTGCGTGCATGGGCCGGACTGACACAGCCGGCTGCACGGGGGGGATGGGGCAGCTCTGACGGCAAGCACAGGGGGGGTGCACACGTGTCGGAATGCACACAGGTGTGCGTGTATCCCGGTGCACGGCCGTGTGAACAGGAGGGCTGGCGTGTCCATGTCCCGGTGCACAGGGGTGTGCGCAGCAGGGCTGGCGTGTGTGTCCCGGTACACAGGGGTGTGTGCAGAAGGGTTGGTGTGTGTGTGTCCCAGTGCACGCGTGTGCGCTGAGGTATGTGTCCAGGTCCCGGTGCACAGGGATGTGTGCAGAAGGGTTGGTGTGTGTGTCCCGGTGCAGGGCGTGTGCGCCGGAGCTGGAGAGATTAGGAAACACACACGTATCCCCCCTAAAGCTGCTGCGGGTCTCTGGGAAGCGCTGGGACCCCCAGGCCCTCGCCCCCGGACGCGGGATCGTGGGGCACTCACTGGTGTTGATCAGGAACTGGTTGGAGACGCCCGGGTGATCCACGTCATGGATGGCGGCTGCAAACAGAGCCGCCAGGATCTCCAGGTCGGTGAAGACAGCCTGCCAAGGGCACACGCAGGGGGCTGAGGCCGGGCCCGGCTGGTTAACAAGCGAGGGCAGGGGCTGGCTCTGCCCCATGGTTGGGCACGTCGCAGCGCGAGGAACCCAGGAGTCCTGGCTGCCCCCCTGGGCCCGGTCCCTCAGGCCCGCGCCCAGCCATGCCATTGGCACAGCCGGGCGTCACTCTGCCCTGGCTCTCGGGAAGCTGCAGAGACTGTGCGGGGAATTGCCATGTGGGGGTTAGCCCTGGGGCCCATCACCCTGGTATCCTGCCTCGGAGTGGGCCCATGCCAGCTGCTGCCAAGGCTGTCAGACCCCGCAGGAGGCAGCGACGGACCCAGGGCGGGCAGAGAGACAGGCAGACAGCTGGGGGTGGATGGACAGACGGACAGGCAGCTTTCCAGCCCCCCCAAATTCGTTTCAGTCCCGTTTCTGTCTCTATTCCAGCTGCTTCCCCCCCGACAGCCGGCCGGGCTGGGTCACGTCCCAGACACCCTGCGTCACAGGGGATCGAGAGCTGGCCCCAGGGCCCCCACTCTGCCACCGGTGGCATGAGAGCCCCCCAGCGGCCGTTCTGTCCCTGACACGCTCAGCCCCCCGGCGGCCCCCAACTCACGTCCAGGGCGGGCGTGGCCAGCAGGACGTGCGTGGACTGGATCACGTCGGCGGCGTGCAGGCTGTTGTGGTAGGCCACGTCGGCGTGGTAGTGCTCCTCCAGCGTCAGCACGTACGTCAACAGCGTCTCCACTGGGATCTTGAAGGTTTTCAGCAGTTCTCTCTCCTGGGGGGGTAAGGGGGCATTTGTGGCCAGGCAGAGTCACGCCAGAGGGGCCAGCGCCAAACACTCCTGTGGGCAGAGCCCACAGCACCCCCCCGCCCCCCAGCTTCAGGCCCCCGTCCCACAGAGCTGGGAAGGGACTCCTGGTGCCCAGCCCCCCCCCCCGCCTCTAACCACTAGACCCCACTCCCCTCCCCGAGCCAGGGACAGAACCCAGGAGTCCTGGCTCCCGGCCAGCACTGAGGATCCCTGGCCAGGCAGGTGCCAGGTGTGATTCCGTGTGCTGCACAGAGGGGTGGGCGCTGCCAGCCCCCACGGACAGGCCCCACCCACCGCGCCTGGCCTGGGGCCCTACCTGGAATATCGTGTACATGATGCAGCTGAGCGAGCGGCTGCTGGAATATTCGGAGACGTGGAAAATGTTCAGGCCCCACTTGTTGAGATTCTCCAGCTCCTGGAAGGCAGAACAGGGGGTGATGAGAATGGGGGGAGGTGGGGACAGGGCCCCCACGGAGAGGCCTGGTAGAGCACGTCTGCAGGAGCCCAGAGGTGGGGGTGCCCAGCTGGACCCACAGCCCCACCATACTCCTGCCGGTGCCCCTCACTCCCGACCCGCCACCCCCATCCCAGTCCCCTCGCCACCAGCTCTGCCGGTGCCCCTCACTCCCGACCCGCAGCCCCTGCTAGCCCAGCCCTGCCCCCCAGCTCTGCCGGTGCCCCTCACTCCCGACCCGCCACCCCCATCCC